TTACTCTGACCGGACGTTACTCTGACTGGATGTTACTCTGACCGGACGTTACTCTGAGCGGACGTTACTTACCGAAATAAACCGTCTTGTCGCACTTCGGACACTTGGAGGCCATGCTGGACTGGACTGGACTGTCGTGGGTCAGAGAAGGTTCGGTTCGTCCTCCGTGGGTTTCCCTCTCTGTGTTCACAGCAAGTGTCCCGCCGCTCACACACGAGCGCGAGCGTCTGTTCTGCGTAATTTACATAGCCCCGCCCCCTTCCCTGTCTGCTTTAAGTGCTGTGGGAAAATTTGCGGCCGACGACAAAGTGCTGGGACGAGTAATATTTCGTTCTGCTTCCTCTTCGTTGAAATGAGTTTTTGTTTTTAACAAGCCACTTATTTATTCTGCATACAGTTATTTTTACAATACACAACTGGAGTGTTTCTGTTTGGTCCACATTTGACAAAACTAAATCTTATTCTGGATCCACCGTTCAGCATGATTTAGTTTCTGATGTCCCCAAAGCAGCCAGAGCCGGAAGTCAAAGTCCGCAATGATGTTTTTGTCTGTTAGCAAAATATCCCTGGATGAATTGGAACAAAAGTGTTTGAAAATAATTCGTGAATGTCCATGAACACGTGGCGTCAGTTAAATGACAAACGCACTTTACAAACGATGAGCTAATGTTGGGTGGTAGCTGAGAGTCATGCCGAACATTCTCGATTCAACCAAATCGCTCAGGAGCCACAGTTACTGGAAGTCAAGAGCTGAGAGCCCTGACATCCAGCAGTTCTCGTTAAGTAAGGTTGCTTTATGATTTAAACTCAAGTTCTATTAAAGATGAACCCATGGGTGGGCCGAACTGAGCACACCCGTGGGCCTGATTTGGCCCCCGGGCCTCCATTTGAATATCCCTGCTCTAAGATCTTGTTGATTGGGTAAGATAAACAAGTCCTTAAAACTTAGCATAAGTTATTGCAGTCAGCTATGCTTGTTAGCAAAATATCTCATTGCAAAGGTTCAAACTTTCTTTTGATTTGTCTGATTGCATGATTGAACTTGGATTTATTCCGTTTTTGTGTTCCAGAAATGTGTTTCTGTTTCAGAGCAGAGATGTTTTTTGAAAGAGTTGTCAAAACGATGTCCTAATCTTTTACTTTTTTTAACACCCAGTTGTTACGAGCTGGACCACGTTGTAAACGGTCACGCTGCACGCCAGGACCTTTAGAAGCATGAAGACACTTTCCAGTTTCCACGCAGTGCATGAAGGCAGCACGCCTCACACATCCTGGATCAGCCGGCGGGAAAACTATTTTGGGCAGTGGTGTGGTTAGTCCACTGGAGCGAATGCACTCCCACTTCCCTTTCCCTTTTCCACTGCAGGAGTAGGCAGCGTCTGCTCAAATCACAAAGCGCTCTTTCAGACTGCGAGGAATTTGTAGGGAAAGAAGATGCTGAGACAAGGTTTGGGTGGATCAGCTTTCCACTTAGAGGCCTGTTGGCATCATGACAAATAAGGCCCACAGAGAAAGACAGGCTGAGTTGGAAAACAGATTCAGAATTTCCAGCATCACGTAACTCCTGGGTTATTTACAAAGCAAGGATTCTGTGAGGGAGTGCATGTCACGCCTCTCAGAGCAGAATTTAGACTAAGAGCATCTTATGCTGAGTGATGACAACGTTTCAGCTGCTTTGATCAAACCTTGAAAGTAGCGTTATGTGCAAGCTTGCACGATGTGTTAGTGCTTGGAGTTTGTGCCGCTCTTAGTTTGAGTTGACTCCAAAAGTGAATTGATTGTTGCAGATGTGCAGCGAACGATTACTTTGTGAGAGTTAGCATCTGTTCAGTGAGCGAGGTTGACTGTCAAGCAAAACGCTGCACAGTGTGTTGCAGCTGGACTACGTGCTGGGGACTCTGCCCAGCTTCACCGATTATTAGTTCAATACAAGGAAAACTGAGTTTTAGCCAAGTTTGTGTTTGCTAAGTTTGCTCTGCTGTGACGGCCATCTTGACTCAGGTTGCCTCCAGAAGTTAATCAGTGGCACCCAATCAATGTTTTCTGAAAGCTTCATCCAAATCTGTCCTGTGCTTCATGAGAAATGTGGCTAAATAAAAATCATTCTAAGTGAAGAAAGCGCAGAGAGTAGGTTTGATGAAATGTCTTCATTAGAGAGTCTGTACGTTTCCAGTGGGCCTCTGGAGAGCCATCTTTTTCACACATTGCATTAGTGCTGACTTCTCTGTCTGCCCGGTGACACAGAGCCGTCCCTGGTCCAGGAATATCACCCAGATACTTCCCACATCTGTGTAACAGCTGATTAACACCCGTCAGTGAATATGCAACGGCCTCCTCCTTATCTCTGAGTCCAGTGTTTTCCAAAGATCTCAAACGGTCGGCGCTGGAGTCAATGTGCTCCTCTGGGCTGCTAAAATACACAGAGAGCTACAGTAAGATAAAGGCAGCGGACAGTTCACATCAGCCCGTCGGTGTTTGCTGAGGGCAGCGGTTCATTACTGGTTGCTGTGTTGCAGTTTTGCTGCCGGTTCAGCTCCTGACCTCAGTCAGACCTGCTGCTGAGTGAACTGGAGGTATCACACGTTCTCTGAAACATTTCACTCACTGAACTCAGTCGTTTAAAGAAAGAATGCATGTAGTCCGTTGATCTTATATCACTAAGGTGAGCCTATGTTGCAAAAGGCTGAGCTGGTAGTAGCTGAGCATTTCTCTCAAACTTTTCACTTTTGTAAACCAAGTTTCTCTCCAACAACGCACCGCTGTGAACACTGTTGAACCTCTGCACTTCTGCATGACACTGTTTGTTCACGTTGTTCTCTCAGAAACATTTACAAATATATAGTCCTTAGTTTGGTAAAGAGGTAGCTGAGCTGAACTCTGGGAACTCTGGAAATGAGATCCTGGATACAGGCGCTTGAAATAAAGCATCTTGACAGGGTAGTTTGGGTTCTACCTTAGAAATAGGGTGAGAAGTTTAGTTATCCAGGGTGTGGAACGGCTGCTCCTCCACATCGAAAGGAACCAATTGAAGTGGTTTGGATTTCTGGTAAAGATGCACCTCTTGGAAGGTTTTCCAGGCATGTTCAACTGGGAGACGACCCAGGACACGCTGGAGAGACTGACTTTCAGCAGGCCTGGAAATGTCTTGGATTCCTCCCAGAAGAGCTGGAAAAAGTGGCCAAGAACAGAGACCTGTGGGACTCCCAGCTCAAGCTGCTGCCCCTGCAACAAACAGTCTGCAACTAATGAATGGCACTGGATGGATGGATGGATGGATGGACGGACGGATGGATGGACGGACGGATGGACGAACGGATGGACGAACGGATGGACCCTTGTTTGACTGACCATTAGCCAAGCCTATAGGCGACT